TTTTTTTTTTTTTTTTTTTTTTTCGGAATGACCCGGTGGGTTGACCCGAGTAGCCGGAACCGGTCTTGATGGGCTATTTGGACCGGGCAACAAAAGATTAAAAAATTACTTATTTTAAAAGTTATAGATATTTAATGTATCAACATCATGAGTCTGACCGTAATTTATGTCATTCATGATAATTCTTGAACCATAATATGAAACCAGCCAAGAATCTTGACCTAATCTCTAAATAATATTCCCCATAGCATATACTATTTTTCCACATAACATCAACACAGTTTAAATTTTTGAGGAAATTGCATGTCATACTTTTATACTTAAAATATATAACAGTTTTGCACATCTTATATTTTGTTTTTTAAAATTACCTAAACAACCTAAAATATTTTCAATTATACATAATCATCTCATTAACCGTTTGATAATCTTTTTAAATGTGATTGAGATATTTAAGGGAATTAAATATACACTTACCTAAAAAATAGCAACCAAAAAGTACAACAAAAAAATTCCCCACCACCCCACGTCTCCTTCATTCTGCATAATTCATGTTTTCCTCCAACTCCTCCAATATTCCCAAATTTTTATCAAATCTTCTCAACAACAATCACCGAGAGAGGTATTCTCCAAACCCTTCTCATTTTTACGAGCCACCAGCGCGATTGAAGCTGCCGACAAGGACTCCACGGCGAAGAACAGGCAGCCACGACGGGAGTGGGTTTCCGAGGACTAGGCCCTTGCGGCGAATCGAGCATCGTCGGCAGTTGAGTAGCATCAGGCCCGATCCGGATCCAAGTCTTTGTTTGATGTGGTTCATATATGGATTTATGGGGACCATAAATCTAATTCAGATAAGACTGATGTGGATCATTTTGTTTCCGGAAGGGAATGATTTGGATGAATTATGAGATTGGGCCTTTTTTTCCGTTCAACTCTCCATTTCTCTATTTTTCTTTCTGTTCAATTACCAACCACTTGGAGCCTGGAGATTGGGGCTTTTCGTTTCACCTTTTTTCAATCGGTGGACCTTTTTGGAGTAAGTAGAAGAGTTCGAGACGATGGAAGAAAAAACCAGAAATTGGAGACTGTGGGTGGGGGCCATGAATTAATCGGGTATATGTTGTGTATATATAGAGTATATGTTCGGTATAATATAAGGGCTTTTTTTCTTGTATATTTATTGTATGATTTGATTTTACTTTTAATAATAACAGCTTTAAGCTTTTGTGGGTGTTTAAGAATTTGTAACCTTTGCACATATGCGTTGAAAATGTATATAATTCGAAGGTATATTTACAAAACCGAGTTGGTATATGTTGGGTATATCCGAGTATATCCGAAGTAACTTTTCTCTGGTTATTTGTTTAATAATTCTTTTTTTTTCCTTGGGGTATATGTTGGGTATATCGAGTATATCCGAAGCTTTTATCTGGAAGACTTGTTTTTTATTGTACATATACTGAATATGTACTAACATAAACTCAAAATATACCATCTGGCGGCTGCGTGAATTATAATATTGCAACATACACTGAATATTACTAACATAAACTCAAAATATACTACCTGGCGACTGCTTGAGTGGAATATATACCAACATAAACTCAAAATATACTAACATAAACTCAATTTTTTTTTTCTTTTTTCTCCTAGTAGACATGGCGGAAATCACGGGACCTTCAGCTGGAGTGGTTACGTTACATTGTAACTGATATTGATACAATATAATAAATAAATTAGTTTCTTTAGGTATTGTTGTAAATACTTTCAAATAAGGATAAAATTGAAAATATTTATTTATCTTACCGCATGGATGAAATTTTCCCTAAACTTTTTTTTTTTTTGGCCTAATTGCTTAAAAAACCATGACCTTTTCGAAATTTGCATTTTTATGATCCACTTTTAAACTTGGCAAAATTATGCACCACTTTCATTATTGTTTGCAAATCTATGATCAGGGCCCAATTTCGGGCTTTTTTAAACGACGTGGCTTTTTTTTCAGACGTATCAATTGTTGTTTTTAATCGATATTCCACGTCGCAAAGGCCTATATAAGACTGAGAATCCTTCAATCGACGACATCTTCTGCAAAATCCCCAAATTTTCGAAAAACCCTAAATCGACGATATCAGATTCAAATCGACGATATCAGATTCAATTTGAGATCGACTAATTACTCATTTCGAAGAACTTTTTTCTTTCAAACCTAAACGACGATCTCAATGAAAATTTATGTTCATCCGTTGCCCGAATCGACGATCTTCTCAATCAATTCGACGAAGATTCTGTGAAGTGCCTATTTCACTACGCTCAATCGTAGAAAATGGACAAAAACAACAAAAGGTAAGTCGTATTTTTCGATGTCGGGCTTTTCCCTTACACTGTTAGATTCTATAAATTTGGATCGTTTTGATAAAATTATGGATCCTCCAAATTAGGGTTCTTGACGAATCTAAGGATGCCTCCAATTAGGATTTTTTAAAGAAATTAGAGATTATCCAATTTAGGGTTTCTTATAAAAATT